AAATTATTACTTAGAATCTCAGAATGGCTTGGGTTGGAAGGGGCACAAAGAGAATCTCGTTCCAACCCCACTGCCATGGGCAGGGACTGGTTTCACTGGACCACACTGCTTAGAGCCCTATCCAACCTGGCCTTGAACACCTCCAGCAGTGGGGCATCCAGAATTTCTCTGGGCAATTTGTTCCAGGTTTCTTATCTAGCAACACTGAGATTTGCTCCCTTCTTTGAGATGTGTGCCATCTCATTGTACGTGCAAATAAAGTTAAGCCTGATTAACATGAAACATTGAATCAACTAAAGAAAAAAATAAATTTTTTTCAAGCACTGAAACAGGCTGCTCAGTGAAGTCACCATCCCTGAGCCAGGCAAGCAGAAGAAGACATCTACCAAGGAGAATGTATGTATTTGTTATTCTAAAAATAATGAAAATGGTGTGTTTGGTTTGAGGTTCATATTCGGTGTTATCCTACACCTTTCACTGCCCTTATTCAGGAAGGCCACCAGAATTAACTTTGAGTATTAGTGACCTTAAGATGAGAATTCATTCCACAGCCATAATGAATTGGAAAAAAAAAAGCCAAACACTGAAGATCATGCTTTGAGTTGAAAAGGATCTTTAAAGGTCATCCAGTGCGATCTCTCCTGTGATGAGCAGGGACATCTTGAAATAGATCAGGTTGCTAAGAGCTCTGTCCAACCTGACCTTGAATGTTTCCACGGATGGGGATCAGTCTGTCCCCCAGCATGTACTGGCCTCCAGGGTTGCCCCAACCCAGGTGCAACATCTTTCACTTGGTCTTGTTAAATCTCAGGATAGTAAGCCATGGGCTTACTTCTCGAGCTTGTCCATGTCCCTCTGGATGGCATCGCATCCTTCAGGTGTGTCAACTGCACCACTCAGCTTGGTGACATCTGCAAATTTGCTAGGGTGCACTCAATTCCTTTGTCTATGTCATTAAGAAGATATTAAATAACACTGGTCGCAACATGGACCTCTGAGGGATTCCACCTGTCACCAACGTCCATCGAGCCATTGACCATTACCCTGTGGATGTGACCATCCAACCAATTCCTTAGCCACAGAACAGTTCACCCATCAAATCCATCTCTCTCCAATTCAAAAAAGTTGGGGATTCTGTCAGAGACTTTACCATAGTCCAGATAAATAACATCTGTAACCCTTCCTTTGTCCACTGATGTAGTCACTCCATCATAGAAGGCCACTGGGTTGATCAGGCAGGACTTGCCCTTGGCAGAGCTGTGCTGGCTGTTCTTAAAAAACAATTCTCCACACTCAATCTAGCTCTTGGTGGAGAGGGCAGCCCCATCACCTCACCTTTCTCCCCTGTCTCTTCTAAACAGCCATTGACAGTTGCATTCCAGTCATGGGATTCATCTCACCATGTGTCAGTAGTGGCAGCTAGGTCATAGATTTCCAGCAGCACAGTGGCTTCCAACTCCTCCTGTCTGTTTCCAATGCTGTCTGCTTTTATGTAAAGGCACCTCAGCTGAGCTGTTGGCTTGTCATCTTCCTAGAGAAACATTCCTTAATTCCTGTGAGATATTTCACTGGTGTTTCCCTGTCAGAGATCTCAGCCAAGAACAAATTCACCTTGCAGTTGTTTATACTTCAGTGGACTATGCCAAGACCATGCTGTAGACATTTAGCTGGCTGCTGACAGATGTCCCCAGCAATAAGAATGAGGAGAATCTGCTGTAGAAGTGTGACTTTGCCATTTTTCATCAGTCATTCACGAGGTCACCCAGGCCCTCCAGCAAATCCTGCAGGAGCCATGAAAGTTTTAATCAAGACCGTGAAAGTTTTAATCAAAGATTTGAGGCACACACTGAAAAGATGATATAATATCTGAATTCCTGTAGTGGAAAAAAACAATGTTCCTTTTCCAGTTTTTGTTTGGTTGGATTTTTTCCATTTCCTTATAAAAATGCAACAATCCCATTGTGGTTTTGGTTAGTGAAGTGGTTTTGCAGGTACATAGCTATGGTATATTGCTGTCTCTGGCTCCATGAAGATCTCTTTCCTAGGTGCTACCGTATTAGAGACTGTGTATTATGTGGTACTTGTCAGCACTGAATTTCATTTATCACATTATCACCTTTCAAAACATGCCAGAGATCCTTCTGGAACTCTGCAGCTTATTTTTCTTTTCACTATCTTGAATAATTCTGCATTGTCATCACATTATTTTCACTACATTTTAGGAATACACTCAGCAGCACTGGTTCTTCTGGGTCATTGAAACCTTGACCATTTATGGTCTCCTTACTGTTAAATTATTAAAACAAAATATAAAACCCCTTATCCCAACAAAACTCGATTTCTGTAGGGATCTTTAGTGAGTGACCTATGAAAAGCTTGTGGAAAACCACGTACACTGTAAACTGGAGGACAATTCATGACATGCTTGTAGATGCTGCCAACGAACACACAAAACCTTCTTTACAGCACCTCTTATTTATCACCAGGACTGCTGTTCCTCTCAGTTTAACCAGCACTGTCAGACTTGCCCCACTGTTCCCTATATGCCTCAGAGACTCCTTTAGAAATACAACTCACATTTGTACAATTTCCTCTGCTTGGGTATCAAGCCAACTTTTAGATAAAGGCACCACACTTTGGTCTGGAGCTGGTAATACCACTGTGGAGTTCTGAGTAATTGCCATCTTGTCCTGTTCATCTGTGGTTATTGATTTAATTGACAAGAATATAATTTAACTTTTCTGGTGTAACTCTGCTGTCCTTTGGCACAAGTCTAGCAGGCTTCTTGCTCCTGATGAGTTTAATGACTGTAACATTTTCATTCCTGTTTATCACAACCTTTTAAAGTTTTGATAGTTCTACATAACTTTTATGCTGTAATTGGTACTATTAACAGCAGAGGAACATTTTAATTTGTTTTAAAATTGAAACACTGTACTGTATAATCCAGTAATAGGAATATAGTTTTACTCTGCCTGTACAAGGAAGAGAATGCTACTGCTGAGTTCAGTGACACAGTCAGGAAAAATACTCCTCCCAGCTTTCCTGATAGCTTAAGAGCACTAAATGGGAAAAAGACCCATACTACTAATTAGGTTTCACATTGCCAGACCTAACACGCCCCTAAACCTATGCAAGCTACACAGTTCACATTAAAATACGTACATTCTAAAAATATTTGAAGTTTGCTTTACTTCATCACTTCTGGCAGCCTGCTGCATTTTGTCTTCCACCAATGGTCTAGATGGCAAAATTCCCACAAGTGTTTAGGGAAACAGAAAAGCCAACCAAATAATTCAGAGCTTTGTGGAATTGGATGTTGAATTGATAACTGAAAAATGCCCTTTTACACGTAGAACTGAGGTGCTGTATTGCCCTCAGCCTGCCCATTCACAGAAGTCTGGAGAAGTTTTAATTCCATGGGGCTACCCCTTCAGACAACAGTCATTTTCAATGTTAAACAAGAAATACTTGGAGATTGAGTGTGGAATAAGAAGTATTTATAGAAAGTATATAGTAAATATATGTCAACAAAAGCTGCATTTCAGAGTATCAGTGTTGAATCCTCCATGAGTTGTAAACAAGAAATCAAGCCATGCCTGCATGATTCATAAATAAATGGTAACACTGTCCCTACAGTTTCCACCCTTGCTACAAGAGACACATTACAGAGTAAGCCAATTCCTCTGCTTTCATTTAACAAATAAACTGTTTATATCCACCATCAGTCCCATTCCAAAGCTTAGGACAGAGCTCTGACAGCAGCACCAGTCTGAGCTGCATTCACCCCTGGTGACAAATACAATAAATATGACAGCAGGAACATGCCTGCTAAAAGGACCACATCTTAAAAAAAGCCATGGCAGTCATTTCAACAGCAGCCTATCTTCATTTCCAATAACAGCTACTCACCTGCCTCAGGACCACTCATTTGCATTGCTTGTAAAGTCAGACAGGTCTGGAGTCCTTGTGGAATGCAAAGTTTACAATATCAACTTAATATAGTTAATATCATAATACTAGTTTCCAAGTATAAATTAAAAAGTATATTTTAACTATCATATTTCAGAGGAAAGAAGCTAGTGAGCATTTTAATGTGGAGACAAGTTTTTCCTGTCTTAGGTGTGACTCCTAGAGACATGCAGCAGTACACACATGGAACAGCTGCCGTGACACAAAAGGGTAATTTTTTTAACTTTGCCACTTTTCAGGAGAGCATTACCTAAATTCAAAAGCTTTTTACCCCAAAATGAAAATGCCTATAAATTGAGTTAAAAATCCACATTTCCTCTGCCTCCCCCATTTCTTGCGCCAGCCTTCATCCATTCATTAATTAGCCGGGGGTTATTTTCTAGCTTTATGACTTTCAAAGTAGTTTTAAAATTTTTCTGTCCTCTAATGGGATTGAATTTTTTTTGGCAGAGTCTTTGCAAAGAAGGAGAAGGGAGGGCAGAAAGGCAGCAAAGGAATAAATGTATATAAACCTCTCCAATTTTTGGTATGTGTAAGGAATACACATCTGGTTCATCTTCAACATCTATGACATCCATCTGTTTTAAAATAATCAGCTGGAAGATCTTCTGATAAAAGTGGGATTTTCATTATTTTAATTTTTCATCCTCTTTCAGTCCATACAATATTTCCTATGGTTATGACCTGCAGTGATGATCAGAAAGTTTTTTTTCTTAGGACTGAGACTTCCCCACACTGTCTGTGACTCAGGGCAGGGAGGGCACCCAGAGCTTCCCCAGCCAGACACTCAGCAGGGCAAGGAAGACCTGACCTTTTCCTGGTAGTGGGAGCTTCATGAACTTTTCCCTGTGCTTGGGCTGCTGCCAAGTTGCCACACTCATAATTTACGCACTAGTTTGCCCACAGTTAGTTGCTGGCTTGGCTCAGCTCCGCTGACGTAAGGCGAACACAGGGAACGGCGTCGTCTGCAAAAACAGAACAAGAGTCTGGAGGAGCCGAGAAAGGTTTGTATGCTTGGGGCTTCAAAGTCTTAGAGGGTTTTTGATTTTGTACTGCACACGTGGAAGTCTTAAGTGTAACGTGGTAAGTGTAAGTTCTTTGAGCGCTGCCTGGTAACGTTACTCTAAATAACTTGCAATCCGACTGGCTGGAGGGGAAAGTTATTCTTTTCAGGTGCACGCCTGTATAAAATACCTCTGGAGCGTGCATCCACCCACAGGAAACTTCCCATGCCCTCTATCACTTGAGGTACCCACACAGCTGCCCAGCTAACCTCATCTGACGTGCCTTTGTGTTCCCTGCTAACTAATAACAGAAATACCTTTGTCTGAATTTTTGTATTTCAGGTCAGCTCTGTGAGCCAACACAATTCCAGCTCTCTGTTTCGTGCGGAGTGACGGTCACTGCGGTATTTGGGTGCGTTTACCTTGTAGATTCAAATATCACATAAATTTACTATAGTGATGTTCCTAACATTGAGATTTCCTTTGTTTCCTAGCATTTGTGTTGCTGGTGTTTATTTTTTTAAATTTAGTTCAGGGTAACATGAGAAAATTGCATGAGCTCTAAAGCAGATGTTAATGTATGGTACAAGTATGATTAAACCTGATCTTGCAAAGAACAGACTGCACATGTGAGCAAATGAAATTGGCTTTTGCCCAAATATTTAAACTAACACAGACTACACTCAGCAACTCTGTGCTGAGATGAAACACATTTCAGCAGAGTTGTGTTTATAGCTGAAGACCCAGTGACACAGCACTGCTCAGTAACCTACTCTTTTTTGGCCACGTAACTGGATATTAAAAGCTCTTTCCAAGAAATTGATTTCAGCAGCTTAAGAGGCACAAAGTTTATTCTTATAGGGGTCTGTTACCTTAAGGTTTATCATCATCTTACAATTTCCCTCTAAGTGTTATCTTGTTAATTTTATGTAATATTTTCAAATAGATATAGTTCTGTGAATTCTTCTTTCTTCCTTAGGTTCTGAAGAAATCAAATGTGATTTTCTAAGTTGTGTTCACAACAGTTCAAGACTATTAATGAAGTCAATACTGGTTTAAAAACTCTGAAAGAATTAGATAATCATTTCCCAACAAGACTAATTTGGAAAAAACCTGGCTACTAACATTTAGAAAGAGCCAACATTTTCTAAGAGAACAGATTTTGCTTGCAACATTATCAAACCAAAATTATTTTAGAGATAAATATTTTTTAGTAAAATATGGATCAGAAAAATGTCAAAATAGTGACAAGTGTTGTTTTTTGTAATTCTGTGAGCACAGCAGCAACATGAACATATATTGCATAGAGAATGCAATAATGCAAACACCACTTATTTGCAAACAGCCTCTCAATATTCACTTGTGCCTGTACCCTTCAGGAGCAGTTTGTCATTTAAAATGACAAATAAAGTTATGCATTATTAAGGCCTCGACACTAATATACTTGAATTCTTGAATTTATAAGACTAAAACTGTCCTGTAGTTTGCAGCTAAAAAAAGATTTACTTTTAACTCCTATGAAATATGTAATTGAATAATTATGGCAGTAGAATGAACATGCATATATATGCATATATATATACATATATACACAGTTATAAACCCCTTTCTGTTTAGCAAAAGCTACACCTCTACAAGATATTAGTATAGCATCCAGAAGCTCCAGCCAAAAACCAGAGCCCAGTGTGTCAGGTGACATAAAACATAGAGTGCATAGTGTTTATCCCCCCAATCACCACCTAGGAGCTCAGGCAACTTATGGACTTAATGACCACACCAGCAGCAGGGTAACCACTAGTGTGGATTTTAGGCCTCCTGATCATTTTAATGAATTTAGTAAAACCAGCAAGGTTTCTTTATAAATATTTAAGCAGACTCCCATTTTAGGGGAACTCAAAGAAGAAAGTGAGGGAAAGCATAACAATTTTTATTTTGAAAATGTAACATGTCTAATCAAGTTAGAGCTCAGTCTGAATAAGTGATAAATAAGGTATACATATATATCAGGATCAGAGATGGAATTTTATTTACTGCAGGTCCTTAATAGCTGATCAACAAATTTGTATTTATCAAACATGCTTCCAAGCTATTTTCTGGAATTCACTGCCACCCACAGCCAACTGAAATTTTGGCCTGTTGTAGTAAGAGGTTGCTTAAGCAAGGAAGAAAAATACAGTGGGATCACTTTCTACCCAAACTAACAATTTATTATTAAACAAGCCTTCTGGTTTTATACATAGTAGAGTACTCGACAAGGTAAAGTTTTCTCCTGCTTTTTAATTTCAGGATTGTTTTTTTCACTTAAATAGCACAAATCATTTTTGTAAGGCTACAAGAGCCTTACAAACACCACTAAAACAAACACTCACCCCCAAATCCCCACATATGAGAATGTATTGCTCTCCAGGTTTCAACATAAAATGTTCAGAAAACTGTGTCTTCAACCAAATGTCTTCTGGCTGTAGCCATCACCAGTTCTGACAGATTCTTCTCTTTTCATTATGTACCCTCCCAATTGCACAAGTCTGAAAATATTTTTCACAGAGATTTCCTAAAGCATTCAAACATGAGCAGATTTTATTCTAGCTTAAGGCATGAAAAGGAGACAGTGCTCAAATCCAAAAGCCTACTTTTGATTAAATGAAAAAAACACTGCTGTTGGAAGGAGGCACACTGTGACATGTGGAAAGTGAACATGGATGCACTTCCTCATGTCAGGGAATGCAGTGACTGCACCATTAACTTCAGTCTCTTACCTACCTTCATCTTACCTCAAATCACACATCACAGGGGAAAGCCAGATCTTGTTACTAGCCAGATGGAGGCCCTCTGAAGAAAAAAAAAGTGCAGAAATCAATTTAAAGCACTTTAAAACACTCTTTTCTCTTGCAGTACAAAATCACTGCCAAGATGGAACAAATACAGTGTCAGAGGAATTAGAACAGAAATCCTGTCCTTGTGAGTAAACAGAGCAGGAATAAGGAATATATCAGGTATCAGTAGAATTGCAATGGTGTCAATATCATGTGCAAATTAAATCACTCACATAAGTCAGCAGTCACACTGCTCCTTAAAAAATACCTGCAGGCATTGCTAAACATCTTGGCCACTGCTAGAGATTTACCCCTTCCAGTGAGGATATGTAAAACAGCTTCCTGCAGTATGATACAACTACAACACTTTGCAGTGCCTGTGGCTGGAGAGAGCAAATATGCAGTCTCAAAAATGAGCAGAGTGGACAAATGTTTTTATCATGGATAAAAACACAGCTCACTCCAGCCACCATGCTATATAGATGTGTCTGTGTATATATCTATTTCTGTATCTAATCTAGATCTAACTTATATCTATATCTCTATATCTAATTTTCACACGCTCACAGATACATGCATTTCTTTACTGAAGAAAACTCTAGTCAAGCAAAGAATTTCACTGACCTATGTCTCTGCAAGCAAATCTATATTAAGTTCTGTTCTTGCTTTTATTGACGCTGGCTGGTATCAATCAATTCCTTCTTAGATTAGGTGCTGCCCTGTACCCTGGGGATGCACAGGGAGAGTTATCCAAAACCCTTAAGGATTCAATCTTCTCACAGCAATGATTTCCTGACTGCCATCTGGGTATTCTGCAGTTCATTGCATTTCAGTGTAATTGGGTGAGCTGTTCTACAGGAAAAGACAGGGAAAAGAAGGCAACTCTATGCAAGGAGACAAAATCAAGAGCACTGACTGAAGCAAATGAAACAGTTTTATCTCTGGAATCCTAAGTCCCAAATTTTTTGAAAATAGCAAATTACACAGATAAAAAGTCACAGATATTAAAAGACAGTTATCTTCTTCAGCTATTGCTTCAACTTATAAGAGTAGCTCAATTTTCAGGCTGACTAGAGGTATCAATTCAGTGACATAATTCTAAGCTTCTGCATAAATGATAAAATAAACACAATGATAAAAATGATAAATGAGAGATAAGAAAAATTCTGACAGCATTACTACATTCCCAGAAACAGCTTGTACCACCCAGTGGAGTGGAGATGTCCCATCTAATCCCATTCCTTCAATCTGTCACTGAAAAAACTCCAAAAGGCCACCAAAGGCCACCTAAACTACTTACTGTCTTTTTCCAGAGATATTCCATATGAAGAGAGTGCCTGCAAGATTTTATAACATTATTTTTTCCCTTCCTTTTCCCTTTCAGCTCTCTTGCCATGATCTCTGCACAGCAGCCACCATTTCCCAACAAAATTCAAAGAACAATGGACTGCCAATCCAAGGAAGAAGAAACATGTGAAGAGCAGTATGACTCTGAAAACTGCACTTGCAGCTCTGAGCATGCAGAATCTGAAAGAGGTTTAGTCCAATTTAAATACTGCAATTGCTATGGCATGCTAGCATATCATACTTTGATTTTTGTCAGTCTTCAAATAGCAGATATTATCATGCAACTTTTCCTTTGATATCCCTTTATATTTTTATATATATATCCCTTTATATACCTTTAATTTCCCCCATTATGTCCCCTTATGCTTGCATATATTATCAGATCAAATCTACAAGAAATACCCCTCTATCTCCATAATTAAGAAATATATTTTAACAGGTCTCTTGATTTTATTTAGACATCTAAGAATTATTTCTCAGTTAAAATCTCTTACAAAAGAGATATGTTTATAATATGCATTAATTGGGTAGCACTGTTGAAGCCATGTTATTACAGATTTTAACAGGCTAAACTGCTCCAACAGCTACTAAGGATTCTAGGCAGGCATCAGTTAAAAATCCCTGCAATCCAGAGTAAATTTTCCCCTGGCAGTTAATTCTATGCATATCCTTGCAACAAAAGTCCAGCCATTCAGAACAGTGTCCTTGTTTTCAGTGAGATCAGATGGAACAGCCTCAGCACAGATCTGAGCCTCCTTGCCATGATGAGACACCCAAGGACAACTGTAGCACTGACTTGCTGAACTACATTGTGTATGCCAATATACAAAGCATCTTACAACCCTCCTTCTATGGGAGGATGCTTAAAAAACAACCACTAAGAAAGAGTCAGGTTTTCTTCAATGTAGGATGTAGATCCTAATGTAAAAAGCAGCTTGCTGTTCTAGAGCTGCTGGCCTCACAAATGAAATCTTCAGCACAAACACCAAAATACAAGCTACCTTGGTCCTGAAAGTCTTTTAGCTATCATTAGTAGAGTTTTATATTGAATTGGTAGGTTTTCCTAAAAGGCTCATTTCTATCTCTAAATTGCTCATGTGAATACCTAGAATGGGAGGAAATGACCATTGCTCCTTTCACCCCCTGGCCACCCAGACTGTCTGGTTTTGGACAGCAACTACTCTTCACTGAAGGGGTGGTCAGGCATTGGAACAGGCTGCTCAGGGATCACCACCCACAGAAGTGCTCAAAAGATCTGTAGATGTGGCATTTGGGGAGGTTTTAGCAATGAACATAGTGCTGGTTTGGTTAATGCCATGATTAATGATCTTCCAGATCTTTCCCAACCTTAACAATTTGATGATTCAAGACCAATGTCCTGAGAGCTCTTCTAGTCCACGTGCTCACACACTGTTTTTGTAAATACTTTTTACTCTTTAACAAGTTTCACATACACCCATGAAATTTCAACTTTTCTCTCACAGGCTCACCAGTAACTCTTAAAATACTGCAGAACTGGGTTCCTAGAGTTTCACACTACTTTGATAAGGAGCACTATACATATGTTGGCCACCAGATTGTCATTCAGGAGTCCATAGAACACTTTGGAGCTGTGGTATGGCCAGGGGTAAGTACACAAGACCACATGCAGAAAGCTCACGGGACACAAGAGCAAACCAGCACAGCAGCACACAAATATTAAGGAAGCTTTCTCAGATGACACTTCTGACAATGGAAGTTTCCCTATGCAGAATGAAGTCCTTCAGCAGAAAGCTCTGCCTCTACCCTAAGGCAGAGCTTTCTGCTGAAGGACTTCATTTGCCAGTTCATGCCAAAAGGACTATGGCACCAAAGCATTTGTACATCAAATGTAGGGATTGAAAAAAAAATTTAGTAAGGGAACTTAGGAAGAAACATTCAGCTTCCTCCATGCTTCCAACCAGTCACTGCTGGTAAGTAAGTAATCAGCAGTACTAAAAGGAGGCTGAAAATGAAAACTGTGAGAGATTGAATAAATAAAGGATGTTAAAATGACTAAATATGCTTCTTTTAAAGAAAAGGCTAGAACAGTTTCATTACAGTATGGAAAATCATACTTGTAAGCAGTTCTTCAGTCTCTGCCTCTCCTACTCTTAGAAACAGAATTTTATGCAGACTAAGAAAACCGTCTTTGAGGGAAGAGAGAGTCAACTGATAAAGACAAGAAAATCAGGATTTCAAAATTGTTCAGATCCACATTTATTTAAAAAGCTCACAAGAAAATGGCAGATAATTTCAAAACAATAGAGAGAGAGCATATGGGTGGGTGAAACAGGATCTTATTCTGAAATGTCAGATCATCAATTCGCACATTAATCAAGTGTCAGAATGCAGATGGTAAAACTCTCCAAGAAAATTGAGAGGTTGCACAAATTGGACTGGTGATTTATTAGCTGTCAGCTTTCCCAGAGCAGGTAGACAGTGTTGCATTATGAAAAGCACAAGAGTTAAAACAGTAACACAATTCTAAAGAAGAGAAGTAAAAGGGGGAAGACAGTTTCTTTGGCATCAGTTTATCTTGTTAATAAACAGCCCACTTATATTCTGCTGACAAAATCTTTACAAAGGCCTAATATTTTAATACAGTGCTGTTTTTGTTTTTTTCCAAAGGTTATACTATTATCAATAAACAAGCATCAAGTTTGTAAATAACCAATTTTCAATATTTTCTTTGCTAAAAAAATTGAAACCAAAAAAAAAGTTTTTCAAAAATCTCTGCTGAAGCCTAAAGTTACTGTATGATAGTGATAGTATAGCATAACATACATAATAAACCAGAACATTACTTACATATTGTTAAACTTTGCTGCTCTGACTGTATGTTTCACATCTTAACACTGCCTATCCTTGTGGGTCCCTTCCAACTCAGCTTATTCTATGATTCTGTCTTGAGCTGTCAGAGGACTCATGTAGAAGTGTGTAGTAAATCAGTATCACATAAACTTAAAACTAAAAATAAACTGCTTTAGTTTTTTTTAATAATAAAAAAACTGGATACATCACAATTCTTCCCATCTTACATTTTTGTTACACCCTTCAGTGTTTCTCATTACACTAAAAAAACACAACACCCTTGTATAAAAACATCTAATGAATTTTTGTGCAACTTAGCTCTTACCTTTTATGGATATGTGTTAACCATTTTAGGCACTGGCTTTATCTCAGTATCTGGAAGCAAATCAAGAACAATTCAACCTCAAAGACAAAAAAGTTTTGGAAATTGGTGCTGGAACAGGCTTGCTTTCCATTGTGGCCTGTATCTTAGGTTGGTAAATTTGTATTTACTTTTCAATTTCTAGTGAACGATGATCTAGCTCTGCCATTGTCACTTTAAGGCAATGAAACAACAGCTGAAGGAAACTTTGTCACTGGGGTTTTTTTTTGTTTTGGTTTGGTTTTTTTTTAATTTTTTTTTTGTTGTTGTTGTTGTTGCTTTTTTAAATGAAAATCATTGTAAAATGCTGTTCTGTTAACTAAATTACCCTAGTTATGCAGGAGGCTGGACCAGTTATGTAGATAAAGCTTCATACATGTTCAACTACATACTATGAATTTTGCCCTGTCTCAAGTGAAAGGATGAGAGGAAACAGCCCTAAGTTGTGCCAGAGAGTTCAGATTCTATATTAAAAACTTTTTTTTATTTTACAGAAAGGGTGGTTAGATACCCTTAGAATAAGTTGGCCAGGGAGGTGGTGGAGTCACTGTCTCTGGAAGTAACCAAGAGGCATCTGGATGTGGGACTTGGGGATATGGTTTAGGGGCCATTATGGTAGTGCTGGGTTCATGGTTGGACAGATGATCTTGAAGGTCTCTTCCAACCTTAGTGATTCTGTGAATTAACAAACTCATGTTTTCTTTAGGGGCTCATGTTACAGCTACTGATTTGCCTGAAGTTCTTGAAAATCTCTCATATAATATTTCAAGAAATACACAGAACTTGAATATGCACAAACCTGAAGTGAGAAAACTGGTATGGGGAGAAGGCCTCAATGAAGACTTTCCTGTATCAACTTACCATTATGATTTCATACTGGCAACTGATGTTGTGTACCATCATGGAGCTCTGGACCCCCTGCTAGCAACAATGGTGTACTTTTGTAAGCCAGGAACAGTATTACTATGGGCAAATAAATTCAGATTCAGTACAGACTACGAATTTTTGGAAAAAGTTTGCAATATATTTAACACAACCATTCTAGCAGAATTTCCAGAATCAAATGTCAAGCTGCTTAAAGCCACAGTAAGAAAGAATTAAAGAGAAAACTACTACTGATCTTGATTTAGTGGCAGCACCTCAAAAATTGGAATGCTTTCCAAGATTATGTTGCACCATCTGTGCATTTATGGTTGTAAAGTTGCAGTTGCATCGAAGTTTTGCATTGCAAGTAGAAAAAAACCCAGCAAGGCAAAAGATATAGCAGTTTGTCTCTGGTTGATAAATATGACCTGTTCAAACTGACCAACTCCCCTCCACTGAAGGAACAGTGTTACTAAGAAGGTTTTAACAAAAAGCATTGACCTTCTGGGCTGCACTGAACCTCTGCTGTTTGTAAGCTGCTTTCTTTCAGCAAGTTTTATTTAGGTACTCATCCAGAAACCAATACAAATTTTAGCTTCAGTATTTTTATTCATTATAAAAAATCTTTTAAAGTATCAGAGTGAACATGGTGGTATTTTGATCTTCAACTTTGCACATTTATTCTGCTGTGTTTTGTATTTTTAACATTAATAAACATCTATGTATAGCTTTACAATATCTGATCAACATGTAACTGTCTGGCACTTTTATACATGTATCAGCCTGTCCTGATACTCAGCTTCACCAGGATTTCTGAATTTGCCTGAAATCACTCCAAAATGAAGAGTTTTGAAAATTTACAAGAGTACCTATGCATCAGCAATTCTGAGAAACATTGTAACCATTTGAGAGGTTGAATTTTTCTCAAAAACATTAAATGTAAACTCTTGCAAACAATACAGGTGTCCATTATTTTCATCTAATAAGTAAGATTTCAGCTACTCTTGAAGTAGCTTTAAGGCCTTCATACAATTGAAATTAAGATCAAACATGTTAAAATTCAGTGTGCCATAAAAAATACAGAACTTTTACAGGTTTGCAGTTCAAAGTAACAATTCAGAACGTAATATGCATGCAGTAATTCCTTCCAAACTAATTCCAAATCCTTGATGTTGGCAGTTCTGGCACATCCATTGCCAGCAATGGGATGCACAATAAGGAAACTCCCTGATGACAGGAGTTAGGTTAACAGGTATTAAGCCATACCCAGGTGCCCTTACTGATAAATACACACAATTTAATAATCAGCATTCAGTAATGAAAACATGCGTCCGAATAAAAAGTCAAACTTCTCTTTTCCTATCCTGTCCCATATAAAATCATTTTAATTTTACAATTGTTGATTCTCTAGAATACACAATAATCAGGTGGATACATGACAGGAAGCCAATTTGCAGTGAAAGTTGCACAATGAGTCCATCCAAGCAACTTCATTAGCTGAAGAAAAAAAGCACACATTAAAAAAAATGAGTCTTACTCTTTTTAACCTCTAAATCTAAACAAACACTGCACTGATATCAACACTTTACTAAAAATGTCTATAATCAGAAAGACAACAGATTAGAGATCTGGTAAGTTTTGACTTCCTCAGTCCTGAAAGGGGGACCCCTCCCCCCCCTTCTATATGATCCACATTCTTTCAATATAATGCACAAGAATTTAATCTTAGAAATTCCCATTAATTCTCCATTAAGTTCTATGAACAGTAATTAAGAGTAAGAATAGTAAAAAAACACCCAGTGGTAAAACAGCAACATAAGGGGATTTTTATGCAGGTATCTTGGACTAAGTTGTCTCTACTTCTTTTATGCCCCAAAGTAAGTTCCAAAAAGTAAATCTGCTAAAAACAACAGTTACTCACAAACAAGCTATTCTAGAACAAGGAAGGAAAAAAATTCACTGTTTCAAACTAAAGTTGAGTTACAAAATCTGGATAAAGTTAAGATATTACATTTAGTGCTTTCTAAAATGAGAAGAGTACAAAAAAAATTCCAGAAGACTTGTATCTTACTTCTGAAAGCTTACACAGCATGAACACAGCCCCATTACTTGGCCAAACACTCCTTACCTGAATGCAGTTTTTTAAGTTGTCCTTTGTTGGCTTTTCTTCTGCAAGTTTTGTGGCAAACTTGAGCCCTCTTCCATACATTTTATTTACCAATGCATGCTTATAGGCAAAAGTCAAAACCTACAATACAAATTAAAAAAAACAAAGCAAATTAGGTATTTTAATATCTTACAAGGTTTAACAAGTGAGATCAAATTCTGTTCAGGTAGCAGAAGTGATTCAAAGCAAAACATTTACACGAGATATTTGCAGCATAACAGATGATTCACAGTAGTAGTCATAAACATGAACTTCCTAGAGACTATTTCTGACTTCACAAACATATTTGACTTTGGAACTTATGTAACACAGATGTCAGTATTTTAATTTTTTATCACATTTCTAGCTTCTTTGGATTTTCATTCTCTACAGGCAACTGTAAGGCATATTAAAAAGATAATTAAAACACCAACCAGGCAGGTATATTTTTGACTCAGAGAAGCAAAAACCCAATTGAGAATTTTAATTCCTAGGTAGTCACAAACTTACTGCAGAAACAAGTATGAATGTACACAGTGAATGATATATACAGACAAAGACAGAGAAATGTAAGTAATTATAAACAAGCAATGAAGACATGTAAGCATGAAGACAAGCCTCAGGTTTTAGGTCAGCTCCTCACTATTGGTAACTTTTTAAGAAGAGATGATAAAAAAGCTCCTTCTTGATAATATTATTTCTAAAAAGCCAGCTTACAGTCCTTACCAATGCAGTAGTTCATGTGAGCAAATGAATGTGTCTACCTAAGACCTAATGAAAAATAATTTTATGTTCTTAACACCCGACCACTGACAGCACTCAGGGTGTTGCAACATGGTTCAAACCATTTCACCAGTTGCAGCACTAAGAATTAGAGCAATCAAGACACTTTCATACATTCCCTTTGGAACACTCACAGCAAACAAGATATTTTTTATTTTTTACTGAAGAGTGACATAGCAGTAAAGTTAGTGAATATGTTGGTGTGTCTGTTGTTGGCAGTGTTTTATGAAATCTTTTATTAGGGCTTGCTATTCATTTCCCCTCATTCACTACAACATTTTTCCTTTGCTCTGACTCCACAATAAAGGTTGAAGATTTCCCACTTAAAATATCCCATTAAAAAAAGCTAACAGAAACCCTTCAAGGATGTTAAGAAACATTTTTTGCATTACAGAAAAAAATTAAATATGTCTCTAGAATATAAACATTAAGGAACCAGAGATCTGAATCTTACAAGGAGTGAAGAACCTATCTAGTTTTAGCAGCCTGAACACTTCCACTTAATTACATGCACAAGTCTTTGCAGGATCAATAAATAGTTAAAATGTAAAAAAGAAATAAACTTAATTATCAAGCAAGTCAAGGTGTAATTTTAAAGCTTCAAGATACTATGCCAAAGTATTCAAGAGTTGCTCATTCTTCTTCTGTCTTCAAATACTTATTTTGCTGTGTTGAAATATTCACTTAAGCTGTTGTAGCTTACAACACACACATATATGCAACGATGAGCATACAGCACCTTTCACATATACAATTTTCCAAATATTGCTATTGGAAAAATAATCTGCATGCTGCATTCTCAATCCAATTATTTTGGATATTTTCCTAAAGCAAAACACATTAGCAAACATTTCTGAATAACTGCTCAGTGGATCTATTAGCAGACTTAGTTGGCTAAACTAAACTTAAAAAAAAATTCTCTTCTGGAAAAGATGATAGAACCACAAAACAAAAAAACAAACAAAAAAATCAAATGAAAAATGCATTGGAGCTCTCAGCAAATATAACATTTCTGAGGCTAACCAGAAATAATGTCACTGCTCTATGAAGAAAGCTCTTACCTGACCCTGTAAGTTTTGAATGGTTATTGAACATCAGTGATAAAGGCAGGAGGAAAGCCACTTGACAGCATTTCTTTCGTAACAGGGCTTCCTAGAGTTTTTGTGGCAAGAAAACAAAGCATTTTACGAAATACCCTTGCTCTGGCCAAATACAAGGTTGGGTATTTCTAAAGGAGAAAAAGGTTCTTTGCTGAACCAAAAGATTTAAAGCAATGCTCCAAGAGCTCCTTACATAAGACAGTAATTTCTGTCTAGTGTTTGGAAAAAAAAACCCCAATCAACTGCATACAAGTTCAGCAAAACTACTAAAAATTCATTAGTACTTCAGAAGTTATGAACAATGCATAAGTTGCTTAAAAATCAGAATTTGTTTACAAACAAAAGATGTTGGATAAGAAATAGTACTTTACAACTTGTACATATATTGGCCAAATTAAGCCTTATAGATAAAATACTGCAAGCTTTATAAGATCACAGAAGTAAAGGTTATGATTCCTTGATATGTGTAAGGAAAATGTAAACTGGAGCGCTATTAGGATATAACAGAGAAAACAGCTGCTATCTGAATGTATAAAACCATCAAATAAACCTATTTGTAGTATCCATAACCAAATTGTTAGATGAAAGAATATTAATGACTTCAAAGTATTTGATATTACTTCAGAACTATATAATGAAATAATAAATTATATAATAAATATAATGAAGGCCAGCTTTTGCACAAAAGCAATTTGGGCCAGAAATTGTAGAAAGAGCAATAAAAGGGTATTGAGAAAAGGCAATGCATAGGATACTGGGGGGAAAAAAAAAATCACTGTGAAGATACTTTATTCCCCAAGCTAATGGCCTGGAATACTACGTGTGCTAGGACCCAGACCCATATATATATATAAAAAATTAGTGCAGTACTTAAATGCCTGATTTCCACCCTTTCTCAACCAGATGTTCCATCTTTTGAGTGCCAGTATTACACAGACATATCTACATAAAAGAAGAGCTCCACATTTTCATCTCCAACACACTGCTTCAGAATAAGCTGGCTGTCTCTTAACAACTCTCCTTTGAAGGACATTCACACAAGGTCTATCCACTATATTTGACTTGGCTGCTCCACTTCCAATCTGTGCTGGTTTAGGATGGGCTAATTAATTTTCTTCACAGCAGCTGATATGGGGCTTTGTTTTTTATTTGTGCTGCAAACAGTGTTGATAACTGAGAAATGTTTTAGCTGTTGCTGAGCAGGGCTT